TGGATTGTTGTGTGTATATGAAATGCATTGGTTGTATAATAAATAGTGTTATCCTGCATTTTAATGTCTGCTCGACAAGATTCAGCCTGTGTGGGGGGTCATCACGTGACGTCACTGACATAGGGGAAGTCGACAAGATTCAGCCTGCGTGTGTGAGGTCATCACGTGACGTCACTGACCGCCGCCGAGTAAACATGGGTAGGGTGACGTCACACTTGTTTAGACCTGTAGTAAGAGAAAGTACCATGCACCATAGGGGGAGTTCATTTGAATGCTTACCCCCAGAGGGGGGAATTCAAAAACTTGATCCAAGGAGATGGAGTCTTTGTATTATTTGATATCGAGAAAAACTTGATCCAAGGAGATGGAGGAGAAATACTTGATCCAAGGAGATGGAGGAGAAATACTTGATCCAAGGAGATGGAGCAGAAATTTTGGGATGGGGGTGAAAGTGGGAAGGAGAACCTCAAAAATTTGATTAGAGGAGATGGAGAGCACAAGAAAATGAAATTAAAAAAAAAATCGAAAAAAATCGGAAAAAAATTCGGGGAGCGGGGGCGATCCGGACGACGCTGCAGAAGGTGCTGCAGAAGGCGCGGGCGGGTGCGAGGGTGCGGCGCACGGGGGGCGTTGGTGGGGGAGGGTTGAAGGGCGTGGTAGGGGGTTGAGGGCGTGGTGGTCAGGGCGAGGTGGTCGAGGGCGAGGTGGTCGAGGGGAGGTCAAGGTGGTCGAGGGTGAGGTCAAGGTCGCGGGTCGGCGCGGGCAGGCGCGTGGGGGGCGCGGGTGTGGCGCGGGTGGGGGCGTGGGTGGGGGTTGAGGGTGGGGGGGTTGAGGGCGAGGTGGTCGAGGGCGAGGTGGTCGAGGGTGAGGGGTCGAGGGCGAGGTCAAGGTCATTAGCATAAAGGTGTGAAAAGGAGTCCCTCAGGAATACAGCGCTCAGCGCTGCCCTTTCAGGAGGAGCCACTCAGCCCCTGGGGATCGTGGGTGGGGGTCGTGGGGGGGGTCGTGTGGGTGGGGGTCATAGGTGGGGGTCGTGGGGGGGGTCATGGTTGTGGGGGTCGTGGGTGGGGGTCGTGGGTGGGGGTCGTGGATGGGGGAGTCGTGGGAGTCTGCTCAGGAAAGGGAGCCACTCAGCCGCACTCATCAACTACTATATATATATATATATATATTATATATATATATATATATATAATATAATATATATATATATATAAATATATATATATATATACACACACAAGCACACACACACACAGACACACACACACACAGATACAGACACACACACACACATATACAGACACACACACAAACACAGACAGACAGACAGACACACACACACACACACACACACACACACACACACACCACACAACACCACACACACACACACACACCTCAGTAAGGAATCGTTCAAGACTTTATACACTGTGAACGTCAGGCCCATACTGAAGTACGCAGCACCAGTTTGGAACCCACACCTGGTCAAACACGTCAAGAAATTAGAGAAAATGCAAAGGTTTGTAACAAGGCTAGTTCCAGAGCTAAGGGGAATGTCCTATGAAGAAAGGTTAAGAGAAATCGGTCTGACAACACTGGAGGACAGGAGGGCCAGGGGAGACATGATATCAACATACAAAATACTGCATGGAATGGACAAGGTGGACAAAGACAGGATGTTCCAGAGATGGGACACAGAAACAAGGGGTCACAATTGGAAGCTGAAGACTCCGACTCACCTGAGTCAAAGGGATGTTAGGAAGTATTTCTTCAGTCATAGAGTAGTTAGGAAGTGGAATAGTCTGGCAAGCGATGTAGTGGAGGCAGTAACTATACATAGTTTTAAGACGAGGTATGATAAAGCTCATGGAGCAGGGGAGAGAGGACCTAGTAGCGGTCGGTGAAGAGGCGGGGCCAGGAGCTGAGTCTCTACCCCTGCAACCACAATTAGGTGAGTACAGTTAAGTGAGTACACACACACACACACACACAAACAAGAGGTATTCAGCAAAGAAAATACTGCAATTGGCCGAGATTTGAACCCGAGTAGTCTAGGCAACCTCCCGAGAAGCTAGCTAAATTCTCGACGCCCCAAGCCACTACACAACCATTTACAAAGACGTTAGGTGTCCAGTGAAGCCAGTAGACATGTGTCCACCAAATGCCGGGTACATTAGGGAAGTGGTCAGCTCAGAAACTAATTTCATTCTTCTCCCTTTCCAGGATTCATCCCCTGGAAATTATTCCGAAATAATATATTTCACCTTTGATTAAAAGCAGATGTCAGAGGCCTTTGAGCCGACAGGTAATTAGTGATCGTTCAGGGCACTCATTATTACTTAAACTTTCATGTTTTAGCCAGCACCTTGACCACCCTCACCCTGACCACCCTAACCCTGACCACCCTCACCCTGACCACCCTCACCCTGACCACCCTAACCCTGACCACCCTCAACCTTGACCACCCTCACCTGACCACCCTAACCTGACCACCCTCACCTGACCACCCTCACCCTGACCACCTCACCTTGACCACCCTCACCCTGACCACCCTAACCCTGACCACCCTCACCTTGACCACCCTCACCCTGACCACCCTAACCCTGACCACCCTCACCTTGACCACCTCACCCTGACCACCTAACCCTGACCACCCTCACCTTGACCACCCTCACCCTGACCACCCTAACCCTGACCACCCTCACCTTGACCACCCTCACCCTGACCACCCTAACCCTGACCACCCTCACCTTGACCACCCTCACCCTGACCAACCTCACCCTGGCCACCCTCACCTTGGCCACATTCACTCTGACCACCCTCACCTTGACCACCCTCACCCTGACCACCCTACCTTGACTACCCTCACCCTGACCACCCTACCCTGACCACCCTCACCTGACCACCCTCACCTGACCACCCTCACCTTGACCACCCTCACCCTGACCACCCTCACCTTGACTACCCTCACCCTGACCACCCTCACCCTGACCACCCTCACCCTGACCACCTCACCCTGGCCACCCTCACCATGACCACCCTCACCCTGGCCACCCTCACCCTGGCCACACTCACCATGACCACAGTCACTCTGACCACCCTCACCTGACCACCCTCACCTGACCACGCTCACCCTGACCCATCACCTTGACCACCCTCACCCTGGCTACCCTCACCTTGGCCACAGTCACTCTGACCACCCTCACCCTGACTATCCTGACCCTGACCACCCTCACCCTGACCACCCTCACCCTGACCACCCTCACCCTGGCCACCCTCACCCTGACCACCCTCACCCTGGCCACCGTCACCATGGCCACAGTCACTCTGACCACTCTCACCCTGACCACCCTCACCCTGACCACCCTCACCTTGACCACCCTCACCCTGGCCACCCTCACCTTGGCCACAGTCACTCTGACCACCCTCACCTTGAGCACCCTCACCCTGGCCACCCTCACCTTGGCCACAATCACCCTGACCACCCTCACCCCTACTACTCTCACCTTGACCACGTTCACCCTGACCACCCTCACCATGAGCACCCTCACCTTGACCACCGTCACCCTTGTCACTCTCACCTTGGCCACAATCACCCTCGCCACTCTCACCTTGACCATCCTCACCCTGGCAATCCTCACCCTGGCCACTCTCACCTTGACCACCATCACCTTGTCCACCCTGACCATCCTCACCTTGACAACCCTCACCCTGACCAAACTCACCCTGACCATCCTCACCTTGACCACCCTCACCCTAACCACCTTCACCTTGACCACCATCACCTTGGCCACTCTCACCCTAACCAAACTCACCCTGACTACCCTCACCTTGACCACCCTCACCTTGACCACACCTCACCCTGACGAAAACTCACCCTGACCAAATTCACCCTGACCACCCTCACCTGGCCACCATCACTCTGACCACCCTCACCCTGACGAAATTCACCTGACCAAACTCACCCTGACCACCCTCACCTTGACCACCATCACCATGACCACCCTCACCCTGACCACCCTCATTCTGACCAAACTCACCCTGACCAAACTCACCCTGACCAAACTCACCCTGACCACCCTCACCTTGGCCACCATCACCCTGACCACCCTCACCCTGACCAAACTCACCCTGACCAAACTCACCCTGACCACCCTCACCTTGACCACCATCACCCTGACCACCCTCACCTTAACCGCCTTTACTCTGACTACCTTCATCCTGACCATCCTCACCTTGACCACCCTCACCCTAACCACCTTCACCCTGACCACCCTCACTCTGACCACCCTCACTCTGATCACCATCACTCTGATCACCCTCACCCTGACCACCCTCACTCTGATCACCCTCACTCTGATCACCCTCACTCTGACCAACCTCACTCTAACCACCTTCACTCTGACCAACCTCACTCTGACCACCTTCACCTTGATCACCCTCACCCTGACCACCCTCACTCTGACCAACCTCACTCTGACCACCCTCACTCTGACCACCCTCACTCTGACCACCCTCACTCTGGCCAACCTCACTCTGACCACCTTCACCTTGATCACCCTCACCCTGACCACCCTCACCCTGACCACCCTCACCTTGACCACCCTCACCTTGTCCACCCTCACATTGACCACCTTCATCCTGACCACCCTCACTTTGACCACCCTCATCTTGATCACCCTCACCCTGATCATCCTCACTCTGACTACTTTCACCTTGGCCACCCTCACCCTTACCACGCACACCCTGACCACTCTCAACCTGACTACTCTAACCTGCACCTCCCTCACCTTCAGCACCCTCACCTTCACCTTCACCTCACCTTCACCCTCACCATAGAAAGTGATCCTCTTCCTCCCCAGTAACCACTAATACCGCCCTCACGATTATCTCCTTCCACCCACAACCGTTCACCCTCACTTTCAGTGATAGTGTTCCTCTCCTCACCTTTAGTAATCAGTCACCTTCAAAGAAAATGAAAGTTTTTTCTCCTCCAGTAGGACTGTGCGGCCATGAGTTCGAGGCCTGGGGCAGCAGCAATAACAACAACAACAACAACAACAGCAGCAGCAGCAGCAGCAGCAGCAGTAGCAGTAGCAGCACCAGCAGTATCTCCTACAGGAGGGACTACCAGCAGGTGGTGGGCAGCGGCCTTCTCGACGTCCCATTCCCTATCCCCATTCCCAACGACACTGTCCTCCTGGGCAATGACGCGGAGGGAGAGGAAGGGTAAGTGCTGGCCAAGTGTATTATTATTATCAGTAGTAGTAGTAGCGGTAGTAGTCGTAGTAGTAATTATTATTATATTAATTTTGGAACACTAAATATGTATGGGACGTACAGATCCTGCCATATATATATATATATATATATATATATATATATATATATATATATATATATATATATATATTATATATATATATATATATATATATATTATATATTATATATATATATATATATATATACAGGTGATAATCTGTTTTTATTCTATGAACGGATGGGTGGCACTAATTCAGGAGACTAAGTGATCTTCACTAACGCCAAGACATCTTCCTGGAAGTGATAGGGAATGGTGTTATGGAAGGATAGGTAAAAGTAGGTATTGTGAGGGCAAAGCAAGGACCGTGGAAGGTAAATATTGTGGGAAGATAGGTATAGGTCAGTAGTTCCCAACCTTTTCACCACCTAGGACTTCTTTTATTTAAATTAATTATCCCAGCGACTCTAGGTTTTTAGAAGGTGTGTCTACTCAAGAAGCCGATTTTATGAACTAACAAACTCGTTTTCCAAGTTTCTTCTCTCAGATAAAATACGTAACTGAATATGCATCTAAATAATTTATAGTATTAAAAATCTTTCCTGTTTAATGAGATGGTTAATGTTGGTTTGGTGACACTATGTTCCGAATTTCTATTCAATGTCAGACAGTTTTAAGCGTAGACCAGGTTCCACATTCATCCTGTTTCTGTATATGATACAGCTGGGAGAAAGCCTGTTCACATACATGTGTAGTGGGGAATGACATTACATATCTCAGTGCTTTGGATGCCAGTTCTGGCTACTCATTTTTCACATACAACCAGCCGTCCGATAAGTTGACTGAATGAAATTTGACATTTATTCGATTGAGGTTTGGTATGTTCGATTCGGCAGCCCATAAAGTAAGACCATTTTAAAAATGCGCCTAAAAAAATTAGATTATTACTGCTGATTTGGAAACGACTTTGAAGTTTTGAAAGTTAATCTTTATCAGCCCTATCGTAATACATTTTTCACTGTAGCCTCTAGAAATTTTGAACGTAGCTCACGGTCCCCCAGCAGTATCTTTGAGGGATCCCTGGGTCCGTGAACCACAGGTTGAGATTATTATAATCAAACGGAAGGGCTAAACCTCCTCAAGTTGAGAACTGCTGGTATTGGTTATTACTCTGGAAGAATGGGTTAGCTAAGTACTGTGGGAGAGACCCGTATGCGGTAATCAACGATACGTTGACGTCAAGAACAGGTTTCAGTGCTGGGAGATTCTGGGTTATTCAAAGACGGATTATTATTATTATTATAATCATGGGGGAGCAGTAAACCCATAGGATTATGCAGCGCATGTTGGGGGGAAGGGGATGGAAGGCATTCAGGCTCAATGCAGGGAACTAGAGCACAGATCCAATTCCATAGATTAAAAACCCCTCACCAACATCAAGGAACTTCCCTTGAGGGGAAAGACACTTGGAGCAGAGTCATCTTTAATGAGACATTGGCTCGGTCAAGACAAGCTTGATCCTTGAATGAAACGTTGTTTTAATTAAGCTCTTCTCTGCTCCAAATGTCTTTGTATTACAGATATTTGTAGGCACCATTCTGCCTGCTAACCAAAGTGAGCATTGGTTGAGCAACTTGCTTACTATATTCCATATGTCTTATTCTTATGTCTCCTGCCCCATATCTCATCTTCCTGCCATCGCCTATGCTGTCTTGCTTTTCATCTCCGTTTCTCGGTATAATTCTCTCATCTCACGTAAATAAAGATTAATACCTAGTTGTATTCGTTTAGTATGAATACTGTTACAAAATGTGATATCTCTAAAGTATACATATCTCCAGAGAATACTAGAAGGTCAACTTACTGATCCCCCTCTAGCATCTAAAATGTTTCTGGTTTTGCAACAGTTTGTCAGAATAAATTCTAGTGCAGTTATCCAATAAACCTTAACTTGTTCATAAAATGTAGAGACAATTTAATAGCGCTCTGGGATTCCAACTGGTTGACCTTAAACCAACGGAATAAAAATTGAGATCTTTAATAACAAAGGTGTCAAGGTGGACATTATCAAAGTAAATAAGTTTGATTTAATTTAGTATACAAGTTTCTACACTTCTCTTGTAGTTCAGTTTTCTATGGAGTTACTTTCTTGGATCGAATAACAGTCGAAATATTTTGGTACTGAATTTGCTCAGTGAAGGTGTCAATTTGGCGGCTAAATAAAAGAAAAAATGATTATATTAAACTTTCTATAAAATTAAATATCTTTTATGGATTGTAGAGTTTTAAATAGAATGTAGACGCTAAAAAATAAATGAGAAACATTGAAACTCGCATTTTTAGGGCATTTTTTTTTTTTATTTTCACGGGTTTAATGAGCTCTTAATTATATTTTCAAACACATTTATGCCTGAGTCACATTGATACGATATTGCTTTTTTTAAGTTGAAGAAATTTGGAAAATTGTAATACTGTTTTTAACCCTTAAACTGTCCAAACGTAGATCTACGTTTTTTCAACATTTCAAAGTATGTAAAAAAAAGTAGATATTTGTTTTTTTTACATTTGAAAACGTGTAAAAAAACTTTGATCTACGTTTTTTTTTTGTTATATTTGAAAATACATAAAAAACGTAGATCTACTTTTGAAGCAGTACGCATGTGAACGTAGATCTGATTGGACAGTTTAAGGGATATTATTAAGTGATAATTTTTGAGTGTGTTACCTGATAGGTTTCAAGCCTTCAATGATAGCTTAATAATGCATCTTCACAGCGGCTTCAAACTTATTATGCTGGTGTTTCCGAAGCTTTGAATTAGTTTTGGGCAGTGTATGTCCTTATTTGACATTTATATTGAAGAAATTGGGATGTAAGTTTCTATATGATACACTGTGAATGTCTTTTCTAATTCGTTGCAAATCTTTAGTGCTAATATTTAACACTATTGGAAACACTATTTAAAACCTTTGCCGCACTTTGCACTATTCCTTTTGCTATGTTGTACGGGGATACCTTTCTTGACTCGTGCAACGACCGAATTATTATTATAATCAAGGGGGAAGCGCTAAACCGGTAAGATTATACAGCGCCTGAGGGGAAGATGTGGAAGGTATTCAGATTTAATTCAGGGAACTGGAGAACAGATCCAATTCCCTAGATCAAGAGCCCCTCACCAGCATCAAGGAACCTTTCTTGAGGGGTCAACGACCGAAATACATTTAGTTTTCCTCAGTCTTTTAAGTGTTTATCTTTCTCAGTGTCTCCTCTGGTTCTTGTATTAATTTTTCTTTTAATGCTGAATATTTTGAGTTGTCTTTTACTTCTGCCTCTTCATTGTTATTACTCTTATCTGATTCTTTCACTGTCTTCGCACTTTTCATTTATCTATTCGGCTTCTTAGTTCTTTTACCTCTCTGTACATGTTTTCGGTAAGCTTTCAGGAAGAAGGCATTATATTTTTGTGTTTTTTTTTTTTTAAATACACTTGCTGTCATAAATTTATATGTGGTGAAAAACACCATCCCAGAATAGAAACCTTTATTAAAGACAATGTTTTACTCGGAGACCAAGAATTTTGCAGTCTGTTCAGTGTGACAGTGTCCCTGACCCTACTGGTCAGGGGCACTGTCGGAGGTGTGCACTACTGATAAAACCCAGCAAATTGAAAGGGATTATGCCAGATCCTCAGTCAATTTGGAAGGAGTGATGCCTATAACAACACTATTCCTTTCCTCGATATTCCGATACGAAAAAAAAAAAAACTACTACCAACTCCCTTTAAGTTTAGCATGATCTGTAAACAAAACAAACCAGAATATTCTCGGTTATTTCTCATTCATCGCTCTGCTAGAACCAAGAGAGGTGCTTTGTTGGGTATCTTTCTAAGGGCTCTTATACTCTGCAGCCTTGATTTTTTGGAAGATGAGTACCTCTAAATTACTGAGATCTTCCGCAATTTGCATTTTCTTGTCATTTTTATTCGAGATTGAAGAAGGAAATCACAGAGAATAATCAACACTCTGAGAGTCGATACCAACAGTAACTTCTGAAATAATCTTTCCTACTTTCACGGTACCTGAGAAAGCTTCTAGATTATTTGAGAAAGCCAGTTACTTCACCTCCATCACTATTAAAGACATTAGTAGGTCCAGCCCCGAAGAGAATGCCGACGTCTACACCATTTCTTTTATTGGATGCAATAAAATATACATGGATGATACAGCTAGGGATTTGTCCACAGAAACGTCATCAATTCCTGTATCTTAAATCGTAACACGACTCACGCCACGTGGATTACACTGGTCAACACTTTTTGAAAAGTAGTATTCTTCTCATATGAGATTAGTTAATTCTTATGCATTTTCATGTCCTGAATTCAAATATCACCTTGAAAAATGCTTATTGGCTATAGTTGTAAAGATACAAGACATTTAATATTTGATTATTTTATTATGACGTACAATATGTGTCAGTATGTTTTAAACTTTAATCCGTACCTACTCTCTGCCTTTTTGCTTGACGCTTATAGTGGCCTGAAGAATCATCTGCCAATGTCCAGCAATAGTCTGCAAGCATTCTTGTGCCCCATTTGCCATGGTACCATTTTTCCATGGTTGAAATATCTTGGTGAAACCTTTCACCATATTCGTCACTAACTGCCCCACAGTTCACTGGAAAAAGTCTAAATGCGAGTCCAAAAAGTGGATTTTAAGTGACATGTTACATCCCATGTTCTTGTAAGCCTTGATGAGGTTTTCCACCAATTCTTCATAGTTGCCTTCCCTTCTGTTTCTGAGAAATCCCTTCGCCATTAACTTGAATGCTTCACAAGCAGCTTTCTCCTCCCCATGAAGGTCTGATTCAAAGTCACCATCTTTAAGAAGCTCGAATTTGAGGACCATTGAAGACTCCCTTTCTTATCTTAGCGTTGCTCAGTGAGGGGAATTTTGATGTTAATTACTACTT